ATCATACCAAATGTTGAAATTAGAGGTATAAATCACAGCACTCATGTGATAGTGCAGCACAGCAAACATCACACTTGAGGAAGCCACACAAGCTACTAGCTACCAATGAATCAGGCTAAAGGCCATTACAAAATGGTGTTCCCCTTTAAAATGTAGACAAGGAAAATACAAACAATGCACTTTACATCTTACTTTAATCAACTCACCAATACACTCAACAACACTACTTTAAAACACTTACGCAAAAAACCAGCGCGGCAGCAGCTACCTCTCCCTGATCTGGCTTGCGTGCCAAGATAACTCCATGTGCTTCTCTTTTAAAGGGAGGGGCACAGGCGCTCAATCACCTTGTTACAGCTGAGATTAAGGGTATGACCACAGAGGCTCATAAAGCCTGTCGCATGCTTCCCAGTCAAAACAGTTTGCACATATGTTATGACAATTTATGACGTTTTTGGTTTGTTTCGGTGTTCCGCAGGGTTCATTAGTCAATGTTTACGCCCCTCTATCTGTGATTGGTCAACAGTACTACTCCTAGTAGGTGTGGATGGGATCCTTCAATGAAGTGTTTGTTGTCAACGAGAGAAGACTAGTTTTCATGCACATTTTTTCACTTGAGAAATGCTACCCAAACATCTTATTTAGAAGTAAAATTGCACGACTAAGACCTCTGCAAAAAATGTAAAAATGTATTACAGATTTCTTGATTTATCTTATATTTTGGGGAAGTGTATAATGGCTGTTGCTACGGGACAAACCTTAATATTGCTGCTGTTTTCAAATGTTTCAAGGGAGCAGCTACGTGAAGCACAGACATTCACTTTGCCTAGCCGAGTTCTGCTAGGAGCAAACCGAACCTAGTAGGGATGTTACGATTCACCGATAGGCAAATGTGAGTGCAGGAGCCCAAACCGATCCAAATGAAGCACGCATCATACGTTACGAATCGCCGGTTCACAAAAGTTTTTTACTCAGCATTTTTTCTGCCTTATTAGGGAAATACTTCTAATCTGTTGAGTGAATTGATGCGTCCTCTCCTTCAGCCTTTCATGTATGTAACTGCGTATGACATTGAGCTACAAGTCAGATAACAACTGTGTGCACAGTGTGGGAGATGCAGCTGCTCGAGCCAACGAGAGGTAGGCCTACCCTATCTCTGGTCTAATATTTGTAGACTACATCTGCGCGGCACCTTCACCATTTAGATGTTTGTAAAATGGCTTTCGCAATATTAAATCATAGGCTTTATTAATTGAGAGACAACCAATGTAATTTGCTGGGTCATTGTTACCAAATGCGCTGTAGAGAATTGGTTTACCTGCAGAGCTGTGTAGGCTACCGGAGTGGACACAACCCACATCTTGCTGATTGCACATGCACATCTAACTGCAGATTGGAGCTCTTTGATTGCCAGGTTGGTCTGAACAGGAGAAGAGCAGCTCTCCTCCGTAAAGTTCCAAACAGTCAAAACCATTCGCTTTTGGAGGGTGAAATGCAAAGCTACTGTCACGATCGCCAATAAAGTAGGACCAAAGCGCAGCGTTGGGAGTGAACATGATGACTTTAATGTGAAATAACGACAAAACAAAACACGATCCATAACGTCCCAAGTACACAGACTGAACATAGAACAAAAACCCACAACTAACACAAGAAAACCTACATCTTAAATATGGCTCCCAATCAGAGATAACGAGCCGACAGCTGACACTCGTTACCTCCGATTGGGAGTCATTGAATACAAACAAGGAAACACAACCACAACCTAGAAATAGACACAACAGAACTCCCCACCTAGAAATAAACGTGACAGACATGCAACCATAAAACATCACCCAAAACCCAACAAAACAACATACACCCTGGCTCAAATACACAAGTCCTGGAGCCAGAGTGTGACAGTACCCCCCCCTAAAGGTGCGAACTCCGGGCGCACCAGCATACAGTCTAGGGGAGGGTCTGGGTGGGCGTCTGTCCACGGTGGCGGTTCTGCCCCTGGTCGTGGTCCCCATCCCACCTTAGTCACCACCCGCTTCCCTAGCCTCCTCCACATTACCACCCCCCAACTACACCCCACTGGGTTAAGGGGCGGCACCGGACTAAGGGGCAGCACCGGACTACGGGGAAGTACCGGACTAAGGGGCAGTACCGGACTAAGGGGCAGTACCAGGCTGAATGGTGGATACTGGCTGGACGGCTCTGGTGGCTCCTGGCTGGTCGGCTCTGGCGGATCCTGGCTGGACGGCTCTGGCGGATCCCGGCTGGACGGCTCTGGCGGATCCCGGCTGGACGGCTCTGGCGGATCCCGGCTGGACGGCTCTGGCGGATCCCGGCTGGACGGCTCTGGCGGATCCTGGCTGGACGGCTCATGGCTGGCTGATGGATCTGGCTGCTCATGGCTGGCTGACGGATCTGGCTGCTCATGGCTGGCTGACGGATCTGGCTGCTCATGGCTGGCTGACGGATCTGGCTGCTCATGGCTGGCTGACGGATCTGGCTGCTCATGGCTGGCTGACGGATCTGGCTGCTCATGGCCGGCTGACGGATCTGGCTGCTCATGGCTGGACGGCTCTGGCGGATCCTGGCTGGCGGAAGGCTCTGGCTGATCCTGTCTGGCAGAAGGCTCTGGCTGATCCTGTCTGGCGGAAGGCTCTGGCTGATCCCGTCTGGCGGAAGGCTCTGGCTGATCCCGTCTGGCGGAAGGCTCTGGCTGATCCTGTCTGGAGGACGGCTCTGGCTGGACAGGGCTGACGACGCACCCCGTAGGCTCGGGGCGTTGAGCAGGGACAGGCAGAACCGCACTGGGGACACACACCCCTGGCCCTACACGGGGATCAGGAACGGGCCGGACCGGACTGGAAACACCCCCCAGTACCTCTCGCCGTGCCTCCACACTTTCCATCCCCTTCGTAACCAGTGGCCCCCTTAAACTGGCGGCCATATCTGCCAACCTCTTGCACTCCTCCGGGCCGTACACCTTCTGCCCCGACGTCGTGAGCCCCCCCCTAAAAATGTTCTGGGGGTCTCTCCTCTCGGTGGACCAGGCCTCCATAGTCCTCTCCCAACCTTCGCTCTTCTGGCTCCACCACCCGTTATCCAACTGCTGCTTGGTCTCGTCTAGGTGGGTTTTTCTGTCACGATCGCCAATAAAGTAGGACCAAAGCGCAGCGTTGGGAGTGAACATGATGACTTTAATGTGAAATAACGACAAAACAAAACACGATCCGTAACGTCCTCAGTACACCGACTGAACATAGAACAAAAACCCACAACTAACACAAGAAAACCTACATCTTAAATATGGCTCCCAATCAGAGATAACGAGCCGACAGCTGACACTCGTTACCTCCGATTGGGAGTCATTGAATACAAACAAGGAAACACAACCACAACCTAGAAATAGACACAACAGAACTCCCCACCTAGAAATAAACGTGACAGACATGCAACCATAAAACATCACCCAAAACCCAACAAAACAACATACACCCTGGCTCAAATACACAAGTCCTGGAGCCAGAGTGTGACAGCTACAGTATGTTATATTAATTGGCTATGTAGTATCAGTGGGTGATGAAGATTTCAGATAAAAAAAGTGGGGGGACAAAAACATAAAATGCCCCCCCCTAATCTGATAGTGGTAGATGCTCAGTCTGTCCTATGGCTACACCCACACACACACACACACACAGGGCCACTCAGCTCAAAGAAATCAGCTCCGACAGATCCAGCTAAGCTTCTGAGCTCCATCAATGTCAGATATTAATTTAGAATGAAAAATGAATGTGTTTATGCAACACCATTTTTTGTGCATCAAATCATTTCAAACTAAAAGTATCATTCCTGTATCGTATCGGAGTCCATGCATCTAGAGGTGTATTGAATCGAGCTTGTAAGGAGAGATGTTGTAACATTAATGGGTTACAAAGTTAATGTCTATAGTTAATTAATTGAGCTTTATCTAAACATATTTTTCTTTTACAGTTATTTACATATGTACAGGAGTAATTGTATTATAATTCATGTGATGGAGATTGAGAGAACTATGTACATATTTCTGTTGTATTGGTTAGTATTGGATTACGCTATTGACTGCAAGTACCAGAATGCCTTGCGACAGGAAGTAAGAAAAAACAAATGAGAATGCTCCAGTTATGTAAAAGTGACAAGTGACTATCCTGGCTTTCGCTAGCAACTTTCTTTTATTGTTTCTAGAATCTAAAGTGGTAAAATGTAACGTCAGCAAGTATTATTACTAAAAACAAGCGTTCATCTTATAATCGACTTCCCGAGTCACTTTGAAGATAGTTATTCTATATTTTTCAAAGAGATGCACATCCCTAGAATCTAGTATGCTGGCGCCTTTAGTAAGTAGCCTTTAGTAAGTAGCCTTTAGCAAGCCTTTAGTATGTAGCCTTTAGTAAGTAGCCTTGCACGAGCCTTGGCTTGTGTGAGCTGGAACAGCTCATAGGAGCTGGAGCCTATCTCCTGTATCTGTAGCGTGAGGCAGCTTGATGTACAAGTACAACCCTGGACAGGATGCTAGTCTATCACAGGGCCTGAACAAGGAGACACATAAACAAGGATGAAATTGTATAAGACGTACGTCATTGACCGTTTTTGACTGTCAAAAGTTTAACTCACTCTACTTCTTTTCAGATTAGTTGAATATTTACAAAGGTGTACTTACATCACTCTTTCAGGTTCTACACCTACCACATCAAGATGGGATGCTTTCTCTGCAATGGAGGCGGAGCCACACGACTAGTCTCAGCAAGTCAGAACTGAGGGTAAAACCACATTTCGATTTTGTGTCCAAAAATTCCAGATTGAGCCAAAGGTTGAATGACAACAGAAACGATTGTCTGTAAAAAAAAAAAAAAAAAAAAAAAATATATATATATATATATATATATATATATATATATATATATATATATATATATATATATATATATATATATGTGGTTTTACCCTCAGTTCTGACTTGCTGAGACTAGTCATGTGGCTCCGCCTCCCTTGCAGAGAAAGCATCCCTGCATCTTGATGTGGTAGGTGTAGAACCTGAAAGAGTGATGGTTTCTGGGGGACGTAGTCCTATCCTTAGGTGGTATAGTGTGTGCTTCCAGGTTCTGTGCCCTGTAGAACGCCGCTCTGGCATGGCAACAACTACAGCGACTCAACAACAAACGCATATCCTTCCGAAACGATCGAGTAAAGATGGTGTAGAGGAACGGGTTACAGAGGGAATTGATTGGGTAGAAGAGGACGAGGAGGATCTTGGAGTGGGAGACGGTGATGAGGGGCATGCGGAGAGCCGCCGAGATGCCAAAGAATGAGATGGGTGCCATGCAGAGGAAGTCGGTGAAGATTAGGACGGCCATGCGCTTGGCGACCTTGGAGTCACGGTGGCGGGTTGCTAAGTCGGGGTTGTGGATGGACAGGTAGATGCGTACGTAGCAGTAGCAGATGATGAAAAAGGCGGTGATGTTGAGGAGGAGGAGGGCTACAACATACACCTGGGAGGCTAGGGACTCGATGTCCATGGGCAGGCAGATCGACACCTGGAGGATAAAATATAAAAGAAAGTCAATCAATCAAATAAATGTATAAAGCCCTTTTTACATCAGCAATTGTCATTACGTTATTTTCAGCAGAAATAAAAAGGCTGTGAATGTTCATCTACTACACTATAGAACACAAATCATGCCTGTTGTGTGTGTAAAGTGAATGTTTGTAAACCTGGGCCCGTATTCAAAAAGCATCACAGAGTAGGATAAGATCCATGCCTTGTCCTGGACTAAAAAGCATGTTCAATGGAGATTGAAAGTGCTTTATAGTCCAGGACTAGGCTTAACCTGTGTCCGGGAAACCGGCCCTTTGTGAATAAAGGCCCTAAACGTAAAAAAAAAGAAATACAAAATATACTGAACAAAAATATAAATGCATCTTGCAACAATTTCAAAGATTTTACTGAGTTACAGTTCATATAAGGAAATCAGTCAGTTGAAATAAATTCATTACTCCCTAATCTATGGATTCCACATGACTGGGAATACAAATATCCATCTGTTGGTCACAGATACCTTTAAAAAAAGGTAGGGGTGTGGATCAGCAAACCAGTCAGTATCTGGTGTGACCACCATTTGCCTCATGCAGCGCGACACATCTCCTTCACATAGAGTTGATCAGGCTGTTGATTGTGGCTTGTGGAATGTTGTCCAACTCCTCTTCAATGGCTGTGCAAAGTTGCTGGATATTGGCGGAACTGGAACATGCTGTCATACATGTCGATCCAGAGCATCCTAAACATGCTCAATGGGTGATGGGTCTGGTGAGTATGCAGGCCATGGAAGAACTAGGACATTTTCAGTTTCCAAGAATTATGTACAGATCCTTGCGACATGGGGCCATGCATTATCATGCTGAAACATGAGGTAATGGCAGGACAATGGGCCTCAGGATCTCGTCACGGTATATCTGTGCATTCAAATTGCCATTGATAAAACATAATTGTGTTTGTTGTCTGTAGCTTATGCCTGCCCATACCATAACCCCACTGCCAACATGGGGCACTCTGTTAACAACGTTGACATCAGCAAACCGCTTGCCCACCCAACGCCATACGCATGGTCTGTGGTTGTGAGCCCGGTTGGACGTACTGCCAAATTCTCTAAAACGACGTAGGAGGTGGCTTATGGTAGAGAAATTAACATTAAATTCTCTGGCAGCAGCTCTGGTGGACATTCCTGCAGTCAGCATGCCAATTGCATGCTCCCTCAAAACTTGAGACATCTGTGGCATTGTGTTGTATGACAAAACTGCACAGTTTAGAGTGGCCTTTTTTTGTCCCCAGCACAAGGTGTGTAATGATCATACTGTTTAATCAGCTTCTTGATATGCCACACATGTCAGGTGGATGGATTATCTTGGCAAAGGAGAAATGCTCACGAACAGGGATGTAAACAGATTTGTGCACACATTTTGAGAGAAATAAGCTTATTGTGCATATTAGAAATGTATGGGATCTTTTATTTAAGCTCATGAAACATGGGACCAACACATTACATGTTGCGTTTATATTTTTTTTCAGTGTATATTTTCAAATTCTGCTGACCTTAGTGTAGCTGCTGACCCCGAGGACAGGAAGCAGAGCGGCCAATAGAGAGAAGCCCCACCCCCCAGCCATAAAGGCCATCACATGCCTCAGCTGCAGCCTCTTGTTCTTGTGCATGGCGTTGGTGATGGTGTGGCACCGCTCTAACGTTATCATGGTCAGTGTGTAGACCGACAGCTCGCTGGCGAACACCGTCAGGAACCCCGCCACACCACAACCCGTGCCCATCTGCCAGTCCGTGGTGTAGTTGTAGTACTCCTACAATACAAATACAACTTTATTACAGAAATATAAACATTGGAAAGCAAGCATCACAGGGTCAGCCGCAGTGCAGCCCCCCTGGAGCAGTTTAGGGGTTAAGTCATGCCTTGCTCAAGGGCACAATGGTAGGTGGTTGGTAGTAATGTACTAAACTGAAAAGAGCAGCCCTACAGAAGCCAGTTCAGTCCCCAACTTTTCATCGCCCAGCTTGAGACTTGAACCAGTGACCTTCTAGTCACTGATACACCTCTCTAAGCCTCTGGGCTACGTACATTGCGTGAGTGGTAGTCCATGGCTGCAATGAGGAGGAGGTATACCCCCATGCAGAGGTCTGCGAAGGCCAGGTTACACATCAGGAACCGAGAGACACTGAGCTTCTGGTGGCTAGTGAGGAGAATGATCAAAAATGTTAAAAACAAAATCAGCAATTACTTGGATATATGTTGCAATTAAAGCATTCATTCCCATATAATTAAATCGATTACTATCCATTCATCCCAATTAAATTGGTTTGGAATCTATCCCTGACAAAGATGGCTGCCATTATCAGCACACTTGTCTAGAGACATACAGGTCTATGACATTGACCACTCTTGTTTATCATAAATCTCTATGTTCTCCCTCTTTACCTGATGATCAGTACGACCAGCACGGCCATGTTCCCGGGCACAGCAAACACAGTCATGAGCCAGGTGACTGAGCGGAGGAAGGAATACCCCAGCAGGTCCTCACAGGGGTTGAAGGCATCGGGCTCTGGGGTACACTGGAAGGGTCCAGGACACAGGCTCAGCTGCAGGTCTGGGTATTGGAGGTTGATGTCGTACAGGTCTGTCACATTGTCCCTGGAGAAAAGGGGAAGAAAACATGGATTTGAGAAACGTTAGGTGGAGAGGTTGAGACCTGTAAAGTCAAGGGAAAAACATTCCGCAAGCCTGACAACAGAACTTTCCCCTGATACATAGTGGAAAAATTGTCTTACTTGATTTCGTCATCATCATCGCACAGCCTTCTGAGGTTCGGAGAGAGTGCAAGGACAACTTTTTCCCTTTGGATGGATAAGGAGAAAAACACATGTTAGAGTAGACCCTTGAGTGTCAACCTGTGATGAGCACCTATGTGTGATGTGTATTTGTATTTATTAAGGATCCCCATTAGCTGCTGCATCTACACTTCCTGGGGTCCAGCAACATTAAGGCAGTTACAGTGGGGGAAAAAAGTATTTAGTCAGCCACCAATTGTGCAAGTTCTCCCACTTAAAAAGATGAGAGAGGCCTGTAATTTTCATCATAGGTACACGTCAACTATGACAGACAAATTGAGAAAAGAAAATCCAGAAAATCACATTGTAGGATTTTTAATGAATTTATTTGCAAATTATGGTGGAAAATAAGTATTTGGTCACCTACAAACAAGCAAGATTTTTGGCTCTCACAAACCTGTAACTTCTTCTTTTAGAGGCTCCTCTGTCCTCCACTCGTTACCTGTATTAATGGCACCTGTTTGAACTTGTTATCAGTATAAAAGACACCTGTCCACAACCTCAAACAGTCACACTCCAAACTCCACTATGGCTAAGACCAAAGAGCTGTCAAAGGACACCAGAAACAAAATTGTAGACCTGCACCAGGCTGGGAAGACTGAATCTGCAATAGGTAAGCAGCTTGGTTTGAAGAAATCAACTGTGGGAGCAATTATTAGGAAATGGAAGACATACAAGACCACTGATAATCTCCTTCGATCTGGGGCTCCATGCAAGATCTCACCCCGTGGGGTCAAAATGATCACAAGAACGGTGAGCAAAAATCCCAGAACCACATGGGGGGACCTAGTGAATGACCTGCAGAGAGCTGGGACCAAAGTAACAAAGCCTACCATCAGTAACACACTACGCCGCCAGGGACTCAAATCCTGCAGTGCCAGACGTGTCCCCCTGCTTAAGCCAGTACATGTCCAGGCCCGTCTGAAATTTGCTAGAGTGCATTTGGATGATCCAGAAGAGGATTGGGAGAATGTCATATGGTCAGATGAAACCAAAATATAACTTTTTGGTAAAAACTCAACTCGTCGTGTTTGGAGGACAAAGAATGCTGAGTTGCATCCAAAGAACACCATACCTACTGTAAAGCATGGGGGTGGAAACATCATGCTTTGGGGCTGTTTTTCTGCAAAGGGACCAGGACGACTGATCCGTGTAAAGGAAATAATGAATGGGGCCATGTATCGTGAGATTTTGAGTGAAAACCTCCTTCCATCAGCAAGGGCATTGAAGATGAAACGTGGCTGGGTCTTTCAGCATGACAATGACCCCAAACACACCGCCCGGGCAACGAAGGAGTGGCTTCGTAAGAAGCATTTCAAGGTCCTGGAGTGGCCTAGCCAGTCTCCAGATCTCAACCACATAGAAAATCTTTGGAGGGAGTTGAAAGTCCGTGTTTCCCAGCGACAGCCCCAAAACATCACTGCTCTAGAGGAGATCTGCATGGAGGAATGGGCCAAAATACCAGCAACAGTGTGTGAAAACCTTGTGAAGACTTACAGAAAACGTTTGACCTGTGTCATTGCCAACAAAGGGTATATAACAAAGTATTGAGAAACTTTTGTTATTGACCAAATACTTATTTTTCACCATCATTTGCAAATAAATTCATTAAAAATCCTACAATGTGATTTTCTTTTCTCATTTTGTCTGTCATAGTTGACGTGTACCTATGATGAAAATTACAGGCCTCTCTCATCTTTTTAAGTGGGAGAACTTGCACAATTGGTGGCTGACTAAATACTTTTTCCCCCCCACTGTATATACAATTGTAAATATTACATGACATTACATTTCATAACACTTTACCCAATACATTTAGTGTGTTCCCTCAGGCCACTACTCCACTATCACATATTTACAATACAACATCTATGTGCACGTGTGTGTAGAGTGCGTGTCTTATCATGTGTATGTGTGTCTGTGCCTGTTTGAGCGTCTCTTCACATTCCCTGCTGTTCCATAAGGTGTATTTTTATCTGTTTTTTAAAATCTGATTCTACTGCTTGCAACAGTTACCTGATGTGGAATAGAGTTCCATGTAACCATGGCTCTATGGAGTACTGTGCGCCTCCCATAGTCTGTTCTTGACTTGGGGATTGTGAAAAGACCTTTGGTGGCATGTCTTGTGGGGTATGCATGGGTGTCCGAGCTGTGTGCTAGTAGTTTAAACAGAGACCTCAGTGCATTCAGCATGTCAACACTTCTTACAAAAACAAGTAGTGATGAAGTCAATCTCTCCTCCACTTTGAGCCATGAGTTCCTTGGTGTCCACATCACCAACAAACTATCATGGTCCAAACACACCAAGACAGTCGTGAAGAGGGTACGACAAAGCCTATTCCCCCTCAGGAGACTGAAAAGATTTGGCATGGGTCCTCAGATCCTCAAAAAGTTATACAGCTGCACCATCGAGAGCATCCTAACTGGTTGCATCACTGCCTGGTATGGCAACTGCTTGGCCTCCGGCCGCAAGGCACTACAGAGGGTAGTGTGTACGGCCCAGTACATCACTGGGGTCAAGCTTCCTGCCATCCAGGACCTCTATACCAAGCGGTGTCAGAGGAAGGCCCTAAAAATTGTCAAAGACTCCAGCCACCCTAGTCATAGACTGTTCTCTCTGCTACCAAACGGCAAGCGGTACCGGAGCGCCAAGTCTAGGTCCAAAAGGCTTCTTAACAGCTTCTACCCCCAAGCCATAAGACTCCTGAACAGCTAATCATGGCTACCTGGACTATTTGCATTGTCCCCCCCACCCCACCCCACCCCACCCCCTCTTTTACGCTGCTGCTACTCTCTGTTTATTATCTACTAACCTGTGCCCCCGCACATTGACTTTGTACCGGTACCCCCTGTATATAGCCTCCCTTTATGTTATTTTATTTTACTGCTGCTCTTTAATTATTTGTTATTAAAAATTTTTACTTATCTATTTTTTACTTAACACTTATTTTTCTTAAAACTGCATTGTTGGTTAAGGGCTTGTAAGTAAGCATTTCACTGTAAGGTCTACACCTGTTGTATTCGGCGCATGTGGCAAATAAAATTTGATTTGATTTGAGAGATTTACATATGCTAGCTCTCCGTGTACATTTAAGGGGCAGCCTTGCTGCCCTGTTCTGAGCCAGTTGTAATTTTCCGAGGTCTCTCTTTGTGGCACCTGACCATGCGACAAAACTAGAGCCTGTAGGATCTGCCTTGTTGGTAGTGTTGTTAAAAAGCCAGAGTAGCGCTTTATTATGGACAGACTTCTCCCCATCTTAGCTACTGTTGTATCAACATGTTTTGACCATGACAGTTTACAGTCCAGGGTTACTCCAAGCAGTTTAGTCACCCCAACTTGCTCAATTTTCACATTATTTATTACAAGATGTAGTTGAGGTTAGGGTTTAGTGAATGATTTGTCCCAAATACAGTGAGGGAAAAAAGTATTTGAACCCCTGCTGATTTTGTACGTTTGCCCACTGACAAAGACATGATCAGTCTATAATTTTAATGGTAGGTTTATTTGAACAGTGAGAGAAAGAATAACAACAAAAAAATCCAGAAAACGCGTGTAAAAAATGTTATGAATTGATTTGCATTTTAATGAGGGAAATAAGTATTTGACCCCTCTGCAAAACATGACTTAGTACTTGGTGGCAAAACCCTTGTTGGCAATCACAGAGGTCAGACGTTTCTTGTAGTTGGCCACCAGGTTTGCACACATCTCAGAAGGGATTTTGTCCCACTCCTCTTTGCAGATCTTCTCCAAGTCATTAACGTTTCGAGGCTGACGTTTGGCAACTCGAACCTTCAGCTCCCTCCACAGATTTTCTATGGGATTAAGGTCTGGAAACTGGCTAGGCCACTCCAGGACCTTAATGTGCTTCTTCTTGAGCCACTCCTTTGTTGCCATGGCCGTGTGTTTTGGGTCATTGTCATGCTGGAATACCCATCCACGACCCATTTTCAATGCCCTGGCTGAGGGAAGGAGGTTCTCACCCAAGATTTGTTGGTACATGGCCCCGTCCATCGTCACTTTGATGCAGTGAAGTTGTCCTGTCCCCTTAGCAGAAAAACACACCCAAAGCATAATGTTTCCACCTCCATGTTTGATGGTGGGGATGGTGTTCTTGGGGTCATAGGCAGCATTACTCCTCCTCCAAACACGGCGAGTTGAGTTGATGCCAAAGAGCTCCATTTTGGTCTCATCTGACCACAACACTTTCACCCAGTTCTCCTCTAAATCATTCAGATGTTCATTGGCAAACTTCAGACGGGCTTGTATATGTGCTTTCTTGAGCAGGGGGACCTTGCGGGCGCTGCAGGATTTCAGTCCTTCACGGCATAGTGTGTTACCAATTGTTTTCTTGGTGACTATGGTCCCAGCTGCCTTGAGATCATTGACAAGATCATCCTGTGTAGTTCTGGGCTGATTCCTCACCGTTCTCATGATCATTGCAACTCCACGAGTTGAGATCTTGCATGGAGCCCTAGGCCGAGGGAGATTGACAGTTATTTTGTGTTTCTTCCATTTGCGAATAATCGCACCAACTGTTGTCACCTTCTCACCAAGCTGCTTGACGATGGTCTTGTAGCCCATTCCAGCCTTGTGTAGGTCTACAATCTTGTCCCTGACATCCTTGGAGAGCTCTTTGGTCTTGGCCATGGTGGAGAGTTTGGAATCTGATTGATTGATTGCTTCTGTGGACAGGTGTCTTTTATACAGGTAACAAACTGAGATTAGGAGCACTCCCTGTAAGAGTGTGCTCCTAATCTCAGCTTGTTACCTGTATAAAAGACACCTGGGAGCCAGAAATCTTTCTGATTGAGAGGGGGTCAAATACTTATTTCCCTCATTAAAATGCTAATCAATTTATAACATTTATGACATGCATTTTTCTGGATTTTGTTGTTGTTATTCTGTCTCTCACTGTTCAAATAAACCTACCATTAAAATTATAGACGGATCATTTCTTTGTCAGTGGGCAAACGTACAAAATCAGCAGGGGATCAAATACTTTTTTCCCTCACTGTACAATGCTTTTAGTTTTTGAAATATTTAGGGATGTGTACCTACCTGTTGTGTTGCCAGGTGTGGAAGGCACAGCAGTGGCTGGGGTAAGTGACCTCTGCCACCTCTAGCTCTAGGAGGCTTTCCAGAGGGGGTAGAGTCTTCAGGTAGGGGGTAGAACGGGCGATCAGGACCTTCAAATGTCCCAAGCCTCGACGGGGAAGTGTGTGGAGAGCTGTGGAGGAGACGTCACTGGACAACACACACAACAAGATACAGTAAACACCTAAGTCAAAAGTTGACACATTTTTGCCTACCTGTTACAATATAACTTTATTGTCCATAGTTACAGCGAACAATAGACATTTGTCTTCTGCTCTCTTCATTTCTCAACCCCTCCCACACATCACACAGACACAACGTTGAGAGTAGCACAGGGTCAAGCTGCAGTGCAGCACCCCTGGATGGAGAGCATGTTGTGGGGTTAAGGGCCTTGCTCAAGATCCCAATGGTAGGGGATTGTTATTAGGATATGAACCCAGCAGCTCTCCAGTTGTCAGATCAATTTCCCCCCTTTTTTCCAGCGCATGGCCCGGGATTCCAAAAGGCGACCTTTCGGCTACAGGTCCAACTCCTTAGCCGCTGGGCTACCTACCCCGCCAGACCTAACCCTAACCTTTCACCTTAACAAACGTGAACACTTTTGTTTTTAACAATGTCAAGCAGGATGCAAACAAACAATACAACTAGACTAGACAACATACTATTACAATCTCACAAATACAGAAGGAGACCTGGCCGCCAAATTGTATATTCACTGAAAAAAACTATAAACGCAACATGCAACGATTTTTACTGAGTTACAGTTCATATAAGGAAATCAGTCAATTTAAATAAATTCATTAGGCCCTAACCTATGACTGGGAATACAGATATGCATCTGTTGGTCACAGATACCTTAAAAATAGACCACACTTCTCCAGGGTGCCAGTGGCCATTGAAGGTGAGCATTTGCCCACTGAAGTCGGTTACGACGCCGAACTGCAGTCAGGTCAAGACCCTGGTGAGGACGTTGAGCATGCAGATGAGCTTCCCTGAGACAGTTTCTGACAGTTTGTGCAGAAATTCTTCGGTTCTGCAAACCCACAGTTTCATCAGCTATCTGGGTGGCTGGTCTCAGACGATCCCACAGGTGAAGAAGCAGGATGTGGAGGTCCTGGGCTGGCGTGGTTACACGTGGTCTGTGGTTGTGAGGCCGGTTGGACGTACTGCCAAACAATGCTGGAGGCGGTTTATGGTAGAGAAATTAACATTCAATTCTCTGGCAACAGCTCTGGTGGACATTCCTGCAGTCACATGCCAATTTCACGCTCCCTCAAAACTTGAGACATCTGTGGCATTGTGTTGTGTGCCAAAACTGCACATTTTAGAGTGGCCTTTTATTGTCCCCAGCACAAGGTGCACATGTGTAATGATTAGGGGTGTAACGATTCGTTTTAACAACGACTCGATTTGTATCACGATTCGTGGTTGTCAATACGATTCAAGGACGATATTGGTTCATTTAGAACGATATGATCCGTAACGATTCAGTGACTTGAAATCGATTCAGTAACCTTTTAGCCAAAAATTCAACCAGTGTGACTGAAATAAATACCTGGATACAGGACAGTGCAGGTGAAGTTTCCTAGATTCCTGTTTCTTGTAAGGACCGCAATGGTGGCTTGATAATTTCTCGCTCGTCGGCTTCTCCTCTGTCGTCCGCTGCTATGTTTTGTTGTCTTTGCGCCTTTGCGCTGCTGCTGGCGCGGGGCGATGACGTCACGGATAGGCAGACTGAATCGAGTAATGTTTAAAGCCTTTATCATTAAAAGTGCTAAGAAAAAACATCCATATAAAGTCTGACGTGCTTAAATCCAATGGGTTATTTCCTAGTATCGATACAATCGATTTATTACATTTTAAAACGATGTTAGATTGATATATGTTGTCCAAAAGGCCAACTCGCCGAGCACAGATCGATGTAGTTGGATCATAGGAATATAAATCGATACATCGATGTAGTAGATGGATCGTTACACCCCTAGTAATGATCATGCTGTTTAATCAGCTTCTTGATATGCCACACCTGTCAGGTGGATGGATTGTCTTGGCAAAGGAGAAATGCTCACTAACAGGGATGTAAACAAATTTGTGCACACAATTTGAGAGAAATAAGCTTTTTGTGCGTATGGAAAATCTCTGGGATCTTTTATTTCAGCTCATGAAACATGGGAACAACACTTTACATGTTGCGTTTATATTTTTGTTCGGTATAGATTACAGCATGTCTGTGTCAACAAGCATCAACCTTGTTTTGTTGAACGTCAATGAAAAATCATTAAGAAACCCCTCCAATCAGCATTTAGGATTAGACCCACCCGCTGTATAAAACACCATAAACCACAAGGTCTCTATGATAACAGTTCCCAGTAGTCAGATTTAGTGTCCATGTAATCTTTGTTTAATGTATAACTAATGTGTATCTTTGACATTGCCAGTTATAGATAGGGAAACAGGAAATACTGAGGCACTGTGGAGGTCAGTGTGGCAGGAAGAATCCCACTGGGCACACAAATAAAATGAAATTTTATTCGTAAACAACAGGTGTGGACTAACAGTGAAATGCTTACTAATGGGCCCTTCCCAAAAATGCAGAGAGAAAGAAGATAGAGAAATAATAGGAAATAAACCACATAATAATAAAAGTAATAATACTGTAGATACACAATGAGTAAAAATAACTTGGCTATATACAAGGGGTACCAGTACCGAGACAATGTGCAGGGGTACGAGGTAATTGAAGTGGACACTGTATGTACACTACCAGTCAAAAGTTTGGACACACCTACTCATTCAAGGGTTTTTCTTTATTTTAAAATTGTTTTACATTGTAGAATAATAGTGAAGACATCAAAACTATGAAACACATATGGAATCATGTAGTAACCAAAAAAGTGTTTAAACAAATCAAAATATATTTTATATTTGAGATTCTTCAAATAGCCACCATTTGCCTTGATGATAGCTTTGCACACTCTTGACATTCTCTCAACCAGCTTCATGAAGTAGTCACCTGGAATGCATTTCAATTAACAGGTGTGTCTTCTTAAAAGTTAATTTGTGGAATTTCTTTCCTTCTTAATGCGTTTGAGCCAATCAGTTGTGTTGTGACAAGGTAGGGGGGCTATACAGAAGATAGCCCTATTTGGTAAAAGACCAAGTCCATATTATGTCAAGAACAGCTCAAATGAACAAAGAGAAACGACAGTCCATCATTACTTTTAAGACATGAAGGTCAGTCAATACAGAACATTTCAAGAACTTTTAATGTTTCTTCAAGTGCAGTTGCAAAAACCATCAACTGCTATGATGAAACTGGCTCTCATGAGGACCGCCACAGGAATGGAAGACCCAGAGTTACCTCTGCTGCAGAGGATAAGTTCATTAGAGTTACCAGCCTCAGAAATTGCAGGCCAAATAAATGCTTCACAGAGTTCAAGTAACAGACACATCTCAACATCAACTGTTCAGAGGAGACTGTTTGAATCAGGCCTTCATGGTCGAATTGCTGCAGAAACCACTGCTCAAGGACACCAATAATAAGAGACTTGCTGGGGCCAAGAAACATGAGCAATGGACATTATACCGGTGGAAATCTGTCCTTTGGTCTGGAGTCCAAATTGGAGATCTTTGGTTCCAACCGCTGTGTCTTTGTGAGATGTGTATTTCCCACCATAAAGCATGGAGGATGAGGTGTTATGGTGTGGGGGTGCTTTGCTGGTGACACTGTCTGTGATTTATTTAGAATTCAAGGCACACTTAACCAGCATGGCTACCACAGCATTCTGCAGCGATACGCCATCCCATCTGATTTGGGCTTAGTGGGACTATCATTCGTTTTTCAACAGGACAATGACCCACACACCTCCAGGCTGTGTAAGGGCTATTTTACCAAGAAGGAGAGTGATGGAGTGCTGCATCAGATGACCTGGCCTCCAGAATACCCCAACCTCAACCCAATTGAGATGGTTTGGGGATGAGTCGAACCGCAGAGTGAAGGAAAAGCAGCCAACAAGTGCTCAGCATAATTCCTTCAAGACTGTTGGAAAAGCATTCCAGGTGAAGCTGGTGGAGAGAATGCCAAGAGTGTGCAAAGCTGTCATCAAGGCAAAGGGTGGCTATTTGAAGAATCTCAAATATAAAATATATTTTGATTTGTTTAACACTTTTGGTTACTACATGATTCCATATGTGTTAGTTCATAGTTTTGAATTCTTCACTATTATTCTACAATGTAGAAAATAGTAAAAAGAAAGAAAGATCCTGGAATGAGAAGGTGTGTCCAATCTTTTGACTGGTACTGTACATATAACTACGAAAAAAGTGACAGATAATAAACAGTAGCAGCAGCGTATGTGATGAGTAAAAAAAAGGTTTGTGCAAAAAGGGTCAATGAAGATTGTCCAGGTAGGTTATTTGGCAGTCTTATGGCTTGAGGATAGAAGCTGTTCAGGGTCCTGTTGGTTCCAGTCTAGGTGCATCGGTACCGCTTGCTTTGCGGTAGCAGAGAGAACAGTCTATGACGTGGATGGCTGGAGTCTTTGACAATTTTAGGGCCTTCCTCTGACACCTCCTGGTATAGAGGTCCTGGATGGCAGGGAGCTCGGCCCCAGTGATGTACTGGGCCGCACGCATTACCCTCTGTAGCGCCTTGCGGTTGGATGCCAAGCAGTTGCCATACCAAGCGGTGATGCAGCCAGTCAAGATACTCTCAATGGTGCAGCTTCAAAACTATTTGTGGATCTGAGGACCCATACCAAATCTTTTCAGGATCCTGAAGGGGAAGAGGCATTGTCATGCCCTCTTCACAACTGTGTTGGTGTGTTTGGACCATGATAGATCCTTAATGATGTGGACACTGAGGTACTTGAAGCTCCCGACCCGCTCCACTACAGCCCCGTTGATGTGAATGGGGCCGTGCTCGGCCCTCCGTTTCCTGTAGTCCATGATCAGCTCCTGGTTTAATCATGTTGTTTCCACATTATTTCAATTACATTACGTGGAACCAACGTGGAATAGACGTTGAATTGACATCTGTGACCAGTGGGATGATTATATTATAGGAATGGAGTGTATTAAAGGTGAATGTTACATAATACTTTTCTAAGGAAGTATTCACTTACAGCACAGTTGGCCCTGACGCTCCCTCAAAGGCATCTTCATGGATGTTCCTCAGATACCTGTTGTCTTTCAGAATCCTACACGAGAAAACAATCACATGATACACATAGTATTAAATCCTGTTTGTCTTGAGCACAAATGAGCACAAGCAATGGAAGTTATATCCTTGCAATAAATGAGTGAAATATGGGTGACACAAAACAGGAACACATGGACAAGGAAACAAGTGACAAGATCGAACAAGACAAACAGTTCCCATACCATATGAATAAATGTACAAGGAGCCCCCTGAGGGCACAGTGAGCAATTTGGGGATTGTCTAGCTTCATCTTGAATAGTTAGCATGGTGTGCAGTAAGTTCTATGGGCAAAATTGTAATGTATCATTTGGTGGTTGGGGTTTCTTGATAAAAATGATATGTTAGATCAAACTCTTGTCCAATTAGTCACAGTACTACACACAGAGAGGTCTTTCTTCCATGATGCATGGGAACGGATTGATTTATGAGTAATTTTAAGTAGCAGAGAATGTAATTTAGAGACCCGTCCCTGTGTTACTATGAATAAATAATTTGTGGATAGGATGGATAGACCATTCTTGCCCCCGTGGGACTCCATATACACGCAAAGCAGAATGAAGTTGTAAGTAAAAGAAAAAGGAAGTGCCAGGTAAATTAAATTGCTTCTGGAGGTTTTGAAATGCACAAAGATAATAGCCTTCAGTAATACAGTTGAAGTCGGAAGTTTACATACACTTAGGTTGGAGTCATTAAAACTCGTTTTTTTCAACCACTCCACAAATATCTTGTTAACAAACTATAGTTTTGGCAAGTCGGTTAGGACATCTACTTTGTGCATGACACAAGTAATTGTTCTAACAATTGTTTACAGACAGATTATTTCACTTATAATTCACTGTATCACAATTCCAGTGGGTCAGAAGTTTAAGTTGATTTTAAGTTGATTGTGCCTTTAAACAGCTTAGAAAAATCCAGAAAATGATGTCATGGCTTTAGAAGCTTCTGATAGGCTAATTGACATCATTTGAGTCAATTGGAGGTGTACCTGTAGATGTTTTTCAAGGCCTACCTTCAAACTCAGTGCCTCTTTGCTTGACCTCATGTGAAAATCAAAATAAATCAGCCAAGACCTCAGAAAAACAATTATAGACCTCCACAAGTCTGGTTCATCCTTGGGAGCCATTTCCAAACACCTGAAGGTACCACGTTCATCTGTACAAACAATAGTACGCAAGTATAAACACCATGGGACCACGCAGCCGTCATACCGCTCAGGAAGGAGACTCGTTCTGTCTCCTAGAGATTAACGTACTTTGGTGCGAAAAGTGCAAATCAATCCCAGAACAACAGCAAAGGACCTTGTGAAAATGCTGGAGGAAACAGGTACAAAAGTATCTATATCCACAGTAAAACGAGTCCTATATCGACATAACCTGAAAGGCCGCTCAGCAAGGAAGAAGCCACTGCTCCAAAACCGCCATAAAAAAGCCAGAGTACGGTCTGCAACTGCACATGGGGACAAAGATCGCACTTTTTGGAGAAATGTCCTCTGGTCTGATGAAACAAAAATAGAACTGTTTGGCCATCATGACCATCGTTATGTTTGGAGGAAAATGGTGGTATCTTGCAAGCCGAAGAACACCATCCCAACCGTGAAGCACGGGGGTGGCAGCATCATGCTGTGGGGGTGCTTTGCTGCAGGAGGGACTGGTGCACTTCACAAAATAGATGGCATCATGAGGAAGGTAAATTAGGTGGATATATTGAAGCAACATCTCAAGACATTAGTCAGGAAGTTAAAGCTTGGTCGCAAATGGGTCTTCCAAATGGACAATGACCCAAAGCATACTTCCAAAGTTGTGGCAAAATGGCTTAAGGACAACAAAGTAAAGGTATTGGAGTGGCCATCACAAAGCCCTGACCTCAATCCTATAGACAATTTGTGGGCAGAACTGAAAAAGCATGTTCGAGCAAGGAGGCCGACAAACCTGACTCAGTTACACCAGCTCTGTCAGGAGGAGTGGGCCAAAATTCACCCTACTTATTGTGGGAAGCTTGTGGAAGTCTAACCTGAAACGTTTGACCCAAGTTAAACAATTTAAAGGTAATGCTACCAAATACTAATTGAGTGTATGTAAACTTCTGACCCACTGGGTATGTGATGAAATAAATAAAAGCTGAAATAAATCATTCCCTCTACTATTATTCTGACATTTCACATTCTAACTGACCTAAGACATGGAGTTTTTAACAGGATTAAATGTCAGGAATTGTGAAATACTGAGTTTAAATGTATTTGGCTAAGGTGTATGTAAACTTCTGGCTTCAACTGTATCTGAGATTTTACCGAAGAAAGATATAAACGCAACATGTAAAGTGTTGGTCCCATGTTTCATGAGCTGAAATAAAAGATCCCATATGCACAAAAAGGTTATTTCTCTCAAATTGTGTGTACAAAATTGCTTACATCCCTGTAAGTGAGCATTTCTCCTTTGCCAAGATAATCCATCCACCTGACAGGTGTGGTATATGAGGAAACTGATTAAACAGCATGATCATTACAGTTTTGATGGAGCATGCAATTGGCATGCTGACTATAGGAATGTCCACCAGAGCTGTTCCCAGAGAATTGAATGCTCATTTCTCTACCATAAACCGCCTCCAACATCGTTTTTGAGAATTTGGCAGTATGTCCAACCGGCCTCACAACCGCAGACCATGTGTAACCACGCCAGCCCACGACCTGTACATCCGGCTTCTTCACCTGCGGGATCGTCTGATGGGGGGGCTGGCTCCCCAGTGTGTGGACCTGACTCCCAAGTGGGTGGGCCGATGCCCGAAATCCATAGATTAGGGCCTAATGAATTTATTTAAATTGACTGATTTCCTTCTATGAACTGTAGCTCAGTAAAATCTTTTAAATTGTTGCATGTTGCGTTTATATTTTTGTTCAGTAATAGTATGAATGTTTAGACTCATTGAAAGTGATTCTGCTTTGATCAAGATGTTGAGCAAAGTAAACAACATGGCGCCCACTCAATATTGTGTCTTACAAGACGTTATTTTACTGGTACATCGAGTTTCTTTGATTAACCCAAGCCTTTGACACAACTCTGAAATAACAGCAACAAAGGCTTAGCAAAAATCACAAGAGCAGGTCCTGTTGAGAGTGTGTGTGCGTGCGTGCACGTGTGTGTGTGTGTGTGTGTTTCAGGCACTTTGTTGTAAGAACTGAAACTAAGCAGGAAGCGGAGGAAAGGGTTGATTGTTTAAGGGGAATACGTACAGTCTATCCAGCTTTGTTCCGTTGAAAGCGTGCGACTTGATTTCCTTGAATCCATTTTTTAAAATATTCCTGTAAGAAACACATTTCCACACATTTAATTTAAATTGGTTGTTAATGTCAGCTTGACCGATTTACAATTGCTTACATACAACAGAAATTGATTTAAAAACATAATTTACAAGTGCTGTCCTAAACCCTGGATTCGATGAAAATTATCATGGTTACCGCAATCAATTAGATGAGATTTAATGAAATCAGCAGTGAAACAATTCTTACATTAAACACCCAGATGAGAAAATTCTCAAATCAATGATCTAAACACGTGCTGAGGCAAATTGAAATCGTACAAAACTTGTAAATTGCTCAAGAACATTGGAGATCCCATAGTATGGCTGTTTGGAGTATTGCTCCAAATAAGTAATAGTATTGTACTCATACTCACATGTACACACTCTCCTCTGTGATCCCTTGAAAGGCATTGGCAGGTATACTGTGGAGCTGCATGTTGTCTCCCAGCTCACTGCACACATAAGAGAGGAGAAGAGGAGAGCAGAGGATAGGAGAGAAGAGAAGAGGAGAGGAGAGGAGAGGAGAGGAGAGGAGAGGAGAGGAGAGGAGAGGAGAGGAGAGGAGAGGAGAGGAGGTTTAAGGTTTCATTTATTTGCACCAAAGAAAATAAGTGATAAACAACAATATAGATAAAAACAAATAATACAAAATACAACGGTGTGCACGTGTGGTTGGAAGCCCAAGGGCTTACATAAAAATCACACCACAAACAAACAATATACAATCCATAAGTACAAAAATAAGAAAGGTTTGTTAAAACAGATAACAAAACCTACTAATCATAAATGTACAAATGAACCAGTCAGCAATCACAAAAAAAATTAACAGTATATGTTTTATATATATGTGTGTGTGCATGTGTGGATGTGAGTGTGTGAGAGTTGGGCTATATGGAGGAGATTACTGAATAGTTTGGTTCATCAGGCTGACCCCCAGTCGTCGCTTGAAATTATTGAGGGATGATGAGGTTTTGGCAATGTGAAGATAAGAATTCAATATATACAGTGGGGATAAAAAGTATTTAGTCAGCCACCAATTGTGCAAGTTCTCCCACTTAAAAAGATGAGAGAGGCCTGTAATTTTCATCATAGGTACACGTCAACTATGACAGATAAAATGAGAAAAGAAAATCCTGAAAATCACATTGTAGGATTTTTAATGAATTTATTTGCAAATGATGGTGGAAAATAAGTATTTGGTCAATAACAAAAGTTTCTCAATACTTTGTTATATACCCTTTGTTGGCAATGACACAGGTCAAACGTTTTCTGTAAGTCTTCACAAGGTTTTCACACACTGTTGCTGGTATTTTGGCCCATTCCTCCATGCAGATCTCCTCTAGAGCAATGATGTTTTGGGGCTGTCGCTGGGCAACACGGACTTTCAACTCCCTCCAAAGATTTTCTATGGGGTTGAGATCTGGAGACTGGCAAGGCCACTCCAGGACCTTGAAATGCTTCTTACGAAGCCACTCCTTCGTTGCCCGGGCGGTGTGTTTGGGATCATTGTCATGCTGAAAGACCCAGCCACGTTTCATCTTCAATGCCCTTGCTGATGGAAGGAGGTTTTCACTCAAAATCTCACGATACATGGCCCCATTCATTCTTTCCTTTACACGGATCAGTCGTCCTGGTCCCTTTGCAGAAAAACAGCCCCAAAGCATGATGTTTCCACCCCCATGCTTCACAGTAGGTATGGTGTTCTTTGGATGCAACTCAGCATTCCAAACACGACGAGTTGAGTTTTTACCAAAAAGTTATATTTTGGTTTCATCTGACCATATGACATTCTCCCAATCCTCTTCTGGATCATCCAAATGCACTCTAGCAAACTTCAGACTGGCCTGGACATGTACTGGCTTAAGCAGGGGGACACGTCTGGCACTGCAGGATTTGAGTCCTTGGCGGCGTAGTGTGTTACTGATGGTAGGCTTTGTTACTTTGGTCCCAGCTCTCTGCAGGTCATTCACTAGGTCCCCCCGTGTGGTTCTGGGATTTTTGCTTGTGATCATTTTGACCCCACGGGGTGAGATCTTGCGTGGAGCCCCAGATCGAGGGAGATTATCAGTGGTCTTGTATGTCTTCCATTTCCTAATAATTGCTCCCACAGTTGATTTCTTCAAACCAAGCTGCTTACCTATTGCAGATTCAGTCTTCCCAGCCTGGTGCAGGTCTTGTCACGATCGTCTGAAGGATGAGACCAATACGCAGCGCGTGTTCCGAGATACATGATGACTTTATTAAATTAAAGTGACCACAGAGAAAACAACAAAATACGATACGTGAAGTTCCACTGCTGAAATAACAACAAACAGCCACACGGAAACAAAAACCCACAAACAAAGGTGAAACCACACAGATTAAATATGGCTCCCAATCAGAGATAACGAGCCGAACAGCTGACACTCGTTACCTCCGATTGGGAGTCATATGCCCAATAAACAACAAAACCAAACATAGAAAATGAACAACCAGATCCCACATAGAAATACACCCAAAAGAAAATGACAACCCTGGCTCACAACAAAGAGTCCCGGAGCCAGAACGTCACAGTACCCCCCCCTAAAGGCGCGGACTGCGACCGCGCCTCACAACCCCACAATAGGGGAGGGCTGGGTGGGTGTTGCTCCCCGGAGGCGGTTCCGGCTCCGGGCTTGACCACCACCCCACTATAGTTCCTACCCGCTTTCTTAACCTCCTCCCAATGACCACCCTCCACTTAAACCCACCTGGATAAATGGGCAGCACCGGACTAAGAGGCAGCACAAGGCTAAGGGACAGCACCGGACTAAGGGGCAGCACAGGACTACGTGGCGGATCCTGGCTGGCTGGCTCTGACGGATCTGGCTGCTCATGGCTGGCTGACGGATCTGGCGGCTCATGGCTGGCTGACGGATCTGGCGGCTCATGGCTGGCTGACGGATCTGGCCACTCATGGCTGGCGGAAGGCTCTGGCTGATCCCGTCTGGCGGAAGGATCTGGCTGCTCCTGTCTGGCGGAAGGCTCTGGCTGATCCGGTCTGACGGAAGGCTCTGGCTGCTCCTGTCTGGCGGAAGGCTCTGGCTGCTCCTGTCTGGCGGAGAGCTCTAGCGGCTCCGGTCTGGCGGACGGCTCTGTAGGCTCATGGCAGACGGGCGGCTTAGCAGGCTCATGGCAGACGGGCAGCTCCTGCGGCGCTTGGCAGACGGACAGTTCAGACGGCGTTGGGCAGACGGGCAGTTCAGGCGCCGTTGGGCAGACGGGCAGTTCAGACGGCGTTGGGCAGACGGACAGTTCAGGCCCCGTTGGGCAGACGGCAGACTCTGGCCGTCTGAGGCGCATCGTAGGCCTGGTGCGTGGTGCCGGAACAGGAGGTACCGGGCTGAGGATACGCATCTCAGGGCTAGTGCGGGGAGAAGCAACAGGGCATGCAGGACCCTGGGGACGCACATAAGTCCTAGTGCGTGGTGCCGGAACTGGTGGTCCCGGGCTGAGGACACGCATCTCAGGGCTAGTGCGGGGAGCAGCAACAGGGCATGCAGGACCCTGGGGACGCACATAAGTCCTAGTGCGTGGTGCCGGAACTGGTGGTCCCGGGCTGAGGACACGCATCTCAGGGCTAGTGCGGGGAGCAGCAACAGGACGCACAGGACTCTGGGAACACACAGGAGGCTCGGTGCGTGGTGTAGGCACTGGTGGTACTGGGCTGGAGCGGGGAGGTGGCGCCGGAAATACCGGACCGTGCAGGCGTACTGGCTCCCTTGAGCACTGAGCCTGCCCAACCCTACCTGGTTGTATGCTCCCCGTCGCCCGACCAGTACGGGAAGGAGGAATAACCCGCACCGGGCTATGTGGGCGAACCGGGGAAACCATACGTAGGGCTGGTGCCATGTAAGCCGGCCCGAGGAGACGCATTGGTGGCCTGCTGCGTGGGGCCGGCCTCATGACATCCGGCTCAACACTCAATCTAGCCCGGCCGATACGAGGAGCTGGAACGTACCGCACCGGGCTATGCCTGCGTACAGGAGACACCATGCGCTCTACTGCGTAACATGGTGTCTGCCCGTACTCCCGCTCTCCACGGTCAGTCCAGGGAGTAGGCGCAGGTCTCCTACCTGCCTTCGCCACACTCCCTTTTAGCCCCCCCCCAAGAAATTTTTGGGGAGTAACCACGGGCTTCCAGCCTCGACTCCGCGCTGCCTCCTCATACCACCTCCTCTCGGCTGCAGCTGCCTCCAGCTCTTCACGAGGGCGGTGGTACTCCTCTGGTTGTGCCCAAGGACCCTTACCAGCCCTTATCTCCTCCCATGTCCAAAAGTCCTTAGGAGGCTCCCATAAATCCTGCGTAGGTAGGTCCTGTTGCCGCTTGTTACGCCGCTTGGTCCTCTTGTGGTGGGTTTTTCTGTCACGATCGTCTGAAGGATGAGACCAATACGCAGCGCGTGTTCCGAGATACATGATGACTTTATTAAATTAAAGTGACCACAGAGAAAACAACAAAATACGATACGTGAAGTTCCACTGCTGAAATAACAACAAACAGCCACACGGAAACAAAAACCCACAAACAAAGGTGAAACCACACAGATTAAATATGGCTCCCAATCAGAGATAACGAGCCGAACAGCTGACACTCGTTACCTCCGATTGGGAGTCATATGCCCAATAAACAACAAAACCAAACATAGAAAATGAACAACCAGATCCCACATAGAAATACACCCAAAAGAAAATGACAACCCTGGCTCACAACAAAGAGTCCCGGAGCCAGAACGTCACAGGTCTACAATTTTGTTTCTGGTGTCCTTTGACAGCTCTTTGGTCTTGGCCATAGTGGAGTTTGGAGTGTGACTGTTTGAGGTTGTGGACAGGTGTCTTTTATACTGATAACAAGTTCAAACAGGTGCCATTAATACAGGTAACGAGTGGAGGACAGAGGAGCCTCTTAAAGAAGAAGTTACAGGTCTGTGAGAGCCAGAAATCTTGCTTGTTTGTAGGTGACCAAATACTTATTTTCACCATAATAAAAAAATAAAAAAATAATAATTTGCAAATAAATTCATAAAAAATCCTACAATGTGATTTTCTGGATTTTTTTCTTCTCAATTTGTCTGTCATAGTTGACGTGTACCTATGATGAAAATTACAGGCCTCTCTCATCTTTTTAAGTGGGATAACTTGCACAATTGGTGGCTGACTAAATACTTTTTTTCCCCACTGTATATATCTGATAGAGAATTGACTATGTGAGATGCGGCAGTGGGGAGGGTGAAGGTTATCGCAGTGGCTTGTGTTATATAGATGGATTTCAGAATTAACCTGGAAGAATCCATTGAAGGGTTTATGTAAACTGTCTGGGAGGTATGAGTATTTGTAGATGAAAATGCATAATTGCCGTACATTAACGTCAAAAATAGACAAGATATTGAGTTTCTTAAACAAAGGTGCAGATGGAGCCAGGTAATTAGAGGAGGTGGCTAGTCTTGCACATTTCTTTTGTATGATGAGTAATTTGTGTAGGTAGGAGGCATATGTACTGGCCCAGACAATATTACAGTAAATTAAATATGGGTAAATTAAGCTATAGTAAAGAGTTAGGAAGCAAGCCTGATTAACCAAACCACTAATCTTTCTGATGATACCAACAGATTTCATCACTTTGCTGCAGACAAATTGAATATGATCTTTCCATGATAACTTTTCATCAATTAGAACTCAGAGGAATCTAGTGGATGTGACTTGTTCCATTTCATTCCCACCAATTGAGATTCTGGCTCTTTTTTTTACATTTACATTTTACAATATTTCTTATTCTTACCAGTGAATACAATAAAGTTGTACCATTCAGAAAATTTGGCCAGGCCTGAGTTGGCTTCATTAATTAGTGAATCAAAATTATTGTGTGATAAAATCAAATTGTTATCATCAGCAAAGAGAATGGGAAGTATGGTAGAAGACACAGTAGCAAGGTCATTGATATAGATCAGGGATAACAAAGGTCCAATTATCGAACCCTGTGGGACGCCACAGGATATCTTGGCCCTGGTAGATGTACACCCGTTTGCATAAACAAATTGTTCTCTATCATAAACACACTATGTAACCAATTATACGGTATAATCATGAAAATCGTAATAATGCAATTTAGAAAGTAATATTTCGTGATCAACCGTGTCAAATGCTTTGGATAAATCTAAAAAGATGCCAAGAGCATAGTCATTGTTGTTAAGGGCTGTAAATATTTTATCCACATGTTGCAAAGGAGACATATCTGTGGAGTAGTTTTTACGAAAACCATATTGGTGCTCATATAGAATACAGTATTGAAACCATATTGGTGCTCATATAGAATACAGTGTTGAAACCATATTGGTGCTCATATAGAATGCAGTGTTGAAACCATATTGGTGCTCATATAGAATACAGTGTTGAAACCATATTGGTGCTCATATAGAATACAGTGTTGAAACCATATTGGTGCTCATATAGAATACAGTGTTGAAACCATATTGGTGCTCATATAGAATACAGTGTTGAAACCATATTGGTGCTCATATAGAATACAGTGTTGAAACCATATTGGTGCTCATATAGAATACAGTGTTGAAACCATATTGGTGCTCATATAGAATACAGTGTTGAAACCATATTGGTGCTCATATAGAATACAGTGTTAAAACCATATTGGTGCTCATATAGAATACAGTGTTGAAACCATATTGGTGCTCATATAGAATACAGTGTTGAAACCATATTGGTGCTCATATAGAATACAGTGTTGAAACCATATTGGTGCTCATATAGAATACAGTGTTGAAACCATATTGGTGCTCATATAGAATACAGTGTTGAAACCATATTGGTGCTCATATAGAATACAGTGTTGGAACCATATTGGTGCTCATATAGAATACAGTGTTAAAACCATATTGGTGCTCATATAGAATACAGTGTTGAAACCATATTGGTGATCATATAGAATACAGTGTTGAAACCATATTGGTGCTCATATAGAATACAGTGTTGAAACCATATTGGTGCTCATATAGAATACAGTGTTGATTTAAATGTTTCAACATTCTCTTATACACCCATTTAGGATTTTAGATAAACATGGTAATACAGATATAAAACATGGTAGTACAGATATAAAACATGGTAGTACAGATATAAAACATGGTAGTACAGATATAAAACATGGTAGTACAGATATAAAACATGGTAGTACAGATATAAAACATGGTAGTACAGATATAAAACATGGTAGTACAGATATAAAACAAGGTAGTACAGATATAAAACATGGTAGTACAGATATAAAACATGGTAGTACAGATATAAAACATGGTAGTACAGTTATAAAACAAGGTAGTACAGATATAAAACATGGTAGTACAGATATAAAACATGGTAGTACAGATATAAAACATGGTAGTACAGATATAAAACATGGTAGTACAGATAATGGACGATAATTTGTAAAAGATCTTGGATCCCTAGATTTATAAAGGGTGATAACCTTAGCAATTTTCAAATCTTTAGGAACAATACCAGTTAGCATTGATTTGGTGAAGATATACGTTAGAGGCTCAGTGATCAAGGAAGACACTGATTTCACCAAAGAGGCACCAATCTCATCATAACCTGCTGCTGACATCTTTAAATTACTAATTACCTCCATCACCTCCATTACATCAGGAGGATCAAACTGAAGCAGAGAAGGGAAATGTCCCTTAATGTAATCCAAGGGATTTCCATCAGTTTTCAGAATTTTCTTTGACAGAGAGGAACCCACATTCACAAAAAGTTGTTAAATTCACATGAAATAACATCAGGATCACTATAGGTCTTATTTCCAACAATAAATTGAGATGGGATAGTTGTAGATGCCTTTTTCTTATTTAACAGTTGATTGATGATTTTCCAAGTTTACTTTATTTTATTTAAGGATTTGGGGAATATGTTAGTAACATTTATTTTGGGGGATATCCGAAGTAGGTGAGTAAATTTGTTCTTATACATTTTGTAATTTGCAGAATTCAGGGGAGAGGGATTTGTGAGAAATGTTTTATTCAACTTGTTTTTTTAAACTGAGGATTTTTTGAGACCGGTTGTAAACCAAGGTTTCCAGAACCCTTCCGCTGCTCTCTTACGTGGTTTAACTAAGGGAAAGCAGTGGTCAGTTCCTTTTCAGTGAGGAGAATTAGAATAGTAGGGTCACATACAGCTGGGGTTGGGTTTAGGTTATCTTGAAATGGGTGTAGCTACAGTATATTATCATTGTATATTATCATGTAATCCAGTTTTAGGTTGGTCAAGTTCTGGATACATACAGGAAGAAGTACTCCAGTATCACCAGGGAGGAGATGGTGGAGAAGTCAGGAAAGTGTATTATTCCTGTGTTACAGATACTCCTGGGAGAGAGAAAAGAGCAGAAGAGGGGGAAAGAGGTGAAGAAAGAGACAGAGGAGGTAAAAAAAAAAGTGGGTGAAAATGTGTGTTACAAAGCTGTGACAGCATTTCATCAAGTAAATAAAATACCAAAATTGAATATTGACAAACTGAGGTGTTGTACCTGGAATTACAGTAGTATGGCTAACAATAATATTGGAATAAAAGCTTACAGGTATCTCAGCCTGGGAAGATCAGTGAAGGCCCCCTTCTCTATACTGATCAGATTTTTGATGTTCTGTATCTGTCTATGGAATAACAGAAAGCATCACAATATAAACATTTATTTAAAAAACTTTAACATTTATTTCCAATATCCCAATCAAGTAACATATTTTTACTCATGATGAGTGACCTTGTGAATCATACTTTTGGTTACAGTAATATTCTGTCCAGGAATGAAGAGGATTAAGTAAATAAGTAATTTTCTGCATGCATTGTGTTCAATGGATCACATAAACCACAGTCTATTACTGTAACTTATCAGGGTAGAAGGAGACACATAATAAGAAAATATAAACACAGTCAAATCCATGGCCTCCAACGGAACAATACGTTATCTCACCAACTAAAACCTTCAGAACTGGGAGATTAAAGTTCTGTAATATGGTGTGTGTGTGTGTGTGTGTGTGTGTGTCTCGTGTGTGTGTGTGACACGTACATCTCAGCTAGGCTGTGGAGAGAGAGGAATGCATGACTTCTTATGTTCCTGGTGCAGTCACTCTGAGAGATCTCACTGTGGCAGAAAAAAAGACAGCATAACGTAAATTCACATTCCAAAGGAATATTCATTTATCTCCTTAATCATAAAATAGAGACTGAATATGCAGAGAGTAAGCTGCAAATGGATCGCAAAGTGAAGGCCAAGGGGAATGGGATCAGAGGAAGAACATTTTTATTTAAAAAAGAAACAAATGCAGTGAGGAAGGCTCTAGTAACATGCCCTTGACTGTTTCTTGTCTTCCTGATGATGTCCTTGCTACCCTCCAACCCATCCCCCATCCCAAATCAACCTTCCACACCCTCTCAGCCCCCTTCTTCTATTGTTATACTTTTTTATAGACCTCCATACGTTTTACCCTTCCAGTCCACCGTACCACCCACTGATCTGTAATTAACCAACACTTTTCTTTAGATAGCCATTTAGATTCCATCTTAAACCAGATAATTAAGCCTGGCGACGCACTCTGCTTATATTTTCCCTCAGCCCTGTGTGAGTGTGTGTGTGTGTGTGTGTGTTTGTACCTCTCTTCTTAAGTTGTTGCATAACATCTTAATTACTGTTACTTTTGTGAAACGATTAAAAAGCCATTTAATTTCAGAGCATCATCACACATGTAGGAGAAGCTGAGCCATGATTTCCAGCCAATTTGAGTCATCCATGACAAGACAAGACCATCTGAACTCCAGCACAGCAAATTGGTTAGTGTGACCTAGGACTGGATTTAATCAGATTGACATTGGCAAATTGGTTGTTTTGGCGGTGTCGGATGTGGAACTGCGTTAGAGCTGTCAAATCGTTTTGAACTTCTAACGCAGTAGGGATAAGAAGGAAGGGAGTGGTTTGTGACACAAGAGCAGCAGCTCATATCACTGTTACACCTCCAACACCGCCAAAACATCTGCTATGCGTATGTTGGCTAACGCTGGTTAACGCTGGTTAACACTCGATCTGATTGAATCTAGGCCCTAGTGTTAATTTTTCAGTGTAACATTTCTAGAGTTGCAAAGTCTTGATTCAGGAGTTAATTTAACACTGCATCAGATAACATTGTCCCACTCGAGTATAACATTTACTTTAATGTTATATGTGCATAATACTGCAACATGAATGTGGTCAGGACCGAAACATTTACTGGGTCACCACAAACTTGAAGACATTAGTTAAAATTAACACAATTCTGCGAGTACAGGGGTCATGTAGGCTATTTGTTAACAGTGTCAGTGTCACTGACACTTGAGCATAGGATATTGAAGTGACAGAGACATCACATCAATATGGAAACATAAAAACAAAGCCTCTTGCACTCCATCGATGCGCTACCGCTTGGATTTAAAAAATAATCATAACATGATGAGAGCCATACCTGGCCCACTTCTGGACCGCAATTCCAAGTGGTGACTGGGCTACATAGTAAGTTGTAACCTTGCAGATGTGGTGGATACATGTGGTGTCTGGTCTGTCCTTAACTTTGTGACCTCATAAGCTTGGGGTGAACCTCTCTTGGAGAGTGTTTAGTAAAGCATTACAGGTAGTCCTGCCCTGTTCCTCAACAATCAGTCTATTATGATAGACTATTAGCTAGCTATAACACACACACGATTTGGTTCAAGGTTACTCAATGCTTAACTGATTTATGGTGTTAAGAATTAACAAAAATTCAGGAGAGAGGACCAGACTTGAATGTAACACTTAACTAGTTGCCAAGTTAACAAACACCAGCTCCTAACCATTGCCAATCAGCCTCCACTACCGTTGGCAACACTTAAATAGTTGCCTTGACCGTAGCTCCTCAAACAAGCTCCAGCTGCTACTAATTGCTAATCAGTCTTCACCTGTTTTCACTCTCCTTAATCACCAATACCACCCTATTTAAACCTGACCAAAGTAATTCCTCCTCTTCGTTTTGCGTTGCATGCTCTCTGTGCTGCATTTCAAGACACTGTGAGTTACCAGCTGCCAAATCATCCCATCTCCACCTTCTATCTCGTATTACTTAGATTCCTTCAAGGATCTCCTTGGGGGATTGCCATCCCTACAGCAGCCCAACTACCACGGTCTGAGGGTGATGTCTACCTGAAACTCCAAGCCAAACCCTACGGAGTCAACCCCTATGGATCCTTCATCTGCAGTCCTTGGCTTCATCTGGTCTATTCTCATTACCCTCCTGAATCCTCATTCTAACATCCATTCAATTTCTTCAGTAAATATTCTAAACCTATTTTAATATGTGGTCGTTAAACTCATGAAACTCACATAAAGACATAATGATAACTAAGGAGGCTGCAATATACCTCAAGACTTCAATCAGTCACTAATTGAGTTATCAGTAAGTGGACAGCTGCATCTTGATCAGATCAGGGGAAGCTTGGTCCCCTGGCCATAGGAGTTGGCAAGTCAGCACAAACAGATTTGGAACCAGGCTACAGTAAGCCACCCCCCCTGATGGAATACCATAATAGGAGTCTTGCTAATTGGCTTGTGAGCGTCTAGGGGTCCTTGACTCAAAAGCCAAGTTGGGGGGAAACTGTCAGCCCAGATAAGGGAATCACACAGCTATTCATGCAATGCATTGGTTGGATGGGATCTGGATGTACACTCATAATATATATATATATATATATAAAAGGTTATTGAGGGGTTCTTTGTCAGGGGTGAGGGTGATGTGTAACCATCATTTGTATTGTGTATCAGGAAGGGTTCTTTACTCCTGTGATGGTTGTGTAGAACCATCATGTTCTTTCCCTCACCACCATGTTTTCCTTTATGCCGTGAAATGCTACACTGTTAAAAGTTCCTGTAATTTTACGGTACAGTACAGGCTACTGGTTGCAGTGAAAGTACGGTAAACAACAAGTTACAGAATTGTGTGTATTTGTGCCATCCGCCAGTGCAAGTGTTGTACCAGTTTAAGTGGTTGATGGTTATGTTGTCAAAGGTGGAGCACCTCTTTTAACACTTTCAGTTCTGAAATCTTTGTAAAAGCATGTGACAATAAAGAGCTGCACTGTTAAGAGGTTACTTTGTATTTCACAGTAAATTAATGGCAATTAGTTGCCTGGAAGTTGCTGTGAATTTTGCGTTACCTAACTGGCAATCAGCTGTCAGTAAGTTATTGTAAAATTCAAAGTAACGTAACAGCCAGTAACAGCTAGTAACTTACTTGCAACTAGCTGCCAGTAACTTACTGTACTTTCACTGAACTTTTCTGATTATAAGATATCTTAACATTAGTTGACAACTACTAAGCATTCTTTGGTGTGAGGACACTATGGACTCAGCCTCACCTGGCCTCAAACCCTTGGGTGACAGGAAACTGACCTTCCTGCCACACCATCAGGTCAGTGAGCGTGACAGAGATCAGCCAAAGTAAGTTACTGTGTATTTTACAATAACTACTTGCAGCAAAGCTGACTGTAAATTATATTTTAAAAAAAAAATCTTTGCAGATCTTCTCCAAGTCATTAAGATTTCGAGGCTGACGTTTGGCAACTCAAACCTTCAGCTCCCTCCACAGATTTTCTATGGGATTAAGGTCTGGAGACTGGATAGGCCACTCCAGGACCTTAATGTGCTTCTTCTTGAGCCTCTCCTTTGTTGCCTTGGCCGTGTGTTTTGGGTCATTGTCATGCTGGAATACCCATCCACGACCCATTTTCAATGCCCTGGCTGAGGGAAGGAGGATCTCACCCAAGATTTGACGGTACATGGCCCCGTCCATCGTCCCTTTGATGCAGTAAAGTTGTCCTGTCCCCTTAGCAGAAAAACACCCCCAAAGCATAATGTTTCCACCTCCATGTTTGACGGTGGGGATGGTGTTCTTGGGGTCCTAGGCAGCATTCCTCCTCTTCCAAACACGGCGAGTTGATTTGATGCCAAAGAGCTCCATTTTGGTCTCATCTGACCACAACACTTTCACCCAGTTCTCCTCTGAATCATTCAGATGTTCATTGGCAAACTTCAGACGGGCCTGTATATGTGCTTTCTTGAGCAGGGGGACCTTGCGGGCGCTGCAGGATTTCAGTCATTCACGGCGTAGTGTGTTACCAATTGTTTTCTTGGTGACTATGGTCCCAGCTGCCTTGAGATCATTGACAAGATCCTCAGTGTATTTCTGGGCTGATTCCTCACCATTCTCATGATCATTGCAACTCCACGAGGTGAGATCTTGCATGGAGCCCCAGGCCGAGGGAGATTGACAGTTATTTTGTGTTTCTTCCATTTGCGAATAATCGCACCAACTGTTGTCACCTTCTCACCAAGCTGCTTGGCGATGGTCTTGTAGCCCATTCCAGCCTTGTGTAGGTCTACAATCATGTCCCTGACATCCTTGGAGAGCTCTTTGGTCTTGGCCATGGTGGAGAGTTTGGAATCTGATTGATTGATTGCTTCTGTGGACAGGTGTCTTTTATACAGGTAACAAGCTGAGATTAGGAGCAGTCCCTTTAAGAGTGTGCCAAAATCCCTGCTGCAGTGTGTGCAAACCTGGTCAAGACCTACAGGAAACGTATGATCTCTGTAATTGCAAACAAAGGTTTCTGTACCAAATATAATTTGATGTATCAAATACTTATGTCATGCAATATAATGCAAATTAATTACTTAAAAATCATACAATGTGATTTTCTGTTTTTTTGTTTTAGATTCTGTCTCTCACAGTTGAAGTGTACCTATGATAAAAATTACAGACCTCTACATGCTTTGTAAGTAGGAAAACCTGCAAAATCGGCAGTGTATCAAATACTTGTTCTCCCCACTGTATAAAATCAGCAGGGGATCAAATACTTTTTTCCCTCACTGTACGTGATTTCAATGGGTCTTTCTACATTCTGATTGTTTCATACTGTTCAATCCAACTTCAACCCCAGAAAATGTTCAGCATTTTCATACATTTCTGCATTTCCTGCACTCATGTTATCATTTCCACACTGTGCCACGTAGGGCTGCATGATATGGGCCAAACATCTAGGCCTAATTAATTGGTGAACTGTTGGAATCATGGAAATAGAATGATTATTCAAATTCTATAGTTGGATAGCAGGCAGCACTTTAAATACATAGTTTTTTCGGGAACTCAGTCAGGGTCTCAACTTTTGCGAGGTAGAATTATAGAATACACAAGGTGCAATATCGAAATTTGTTTGTACACCAACAGTTTATCTTGTTATGTCAGTTACTAATAGTCACTCAATTATCCCATGTCAGCCAAATTGTTTCAGATTGGTAAATTAGTCTAGCAGCCGGCTATCTAAACTTGTAGTAATCAAGGTAAAATTATTGACCTACTAAACCATCAGTTCCCTACTAAACCATCAACTCCCTTCTACATCATCAACTCCCTACTAAACCATCAACTCCCTACTAAACCATCAACTCCCTTGTAAACCATTAACTCCCTACTAAACCATCAACTCCCTACTACGTCATCAACTTCCTACTACAGCATCAACTCCCTACTAAACCATAAATTCCCTACTAAACCATCAGCACCCACTTTTCCCATCTGGTTCCACAAACCTTGTGTAAGAAAGGTGGCTTACTAAACCACGTTTGCGGCTTTTGTTCAGTGTGCTAACAGTCTTGTGTCCCACAAGAAACCAGGGTTTGATACCCAATCAGTCACACTGAGACTTTTTTATATGTCTATGAGATTCAAAAACAAAAGTGATGAATGAAATTCATAATGAAAACTTTTATTTCTAAATGGTGTGATGCTATTTCTATCCACACAATGCCTCATATTCAGACCAAAACCTCCATGCTGTTCACTGTGTGTGTTCATATGCACAAATAGTAACTTTGGGCTGCATTGTGTGCGTCCCAAGTGGAGCTCTATTCCCTACCTATGGCCGATGAAGTCTACTTTATCTAACTACACTGAACAAAAATATAAATGCAACATGCAACAATTTAAAAGATTTTACTGAGTTACAGTTCATATAAGGAAACCAGTCAATTGAAATAAACGAATTAGGCCCTAATCTATGAATTTCACATGACTGGGAATACAGAAATGCATTTGTTGGTCACAGATACCTTAAAAAAAGGTAGGGGCTGGGATCAGAAAACCAGTCAGGGCCTCAAGATCTCGTCACGGTATCTCTGTGCATTCAAATTGCCTTTTAGAAAATGCAATTGTGTTCGTTGTCCGTAGCTTATTCCTGCGCATTACGGAGGTAAGGAAGCCGGATGTGGAGGTCCTGGGCTGGCGTGGTTACACATGGTCTGCAGTTGTGAGGCCGGTTGGACGTACTGCCATATTCTCTAAAACAACGTTGGAGGCGGCTTATGGTAGATAAATTAACATTACATTCTCTGGCAACAGCTCTGGTGGACATTCCTGCAGTCAGCATGCCAATTGCACTCTCTCTCAAAACTTGAGATCTGTTTAATTGTGTTATGTGACAAAACTGTACATTTTAGAGTGGGCTTTTATTGTCCCCAGCACAAGGTACAGCTGTGTAATGATCATGCTGTTTAATCAGCTTCTTAAAATGCCACACCTGTCATGAAACATGGGACCAACACTTTACATGTTGCGTTTATATTTTTGTTCAGTATAGATAAAGCAGACACATTTTATATGGAGATAGTGTGGCGCCTTATCTTTGTAAATTTATGCAGTATCAGATTATTTTAAACAGCACCTCCCACTATCTACAGTTGTTTGAGCGCAAACTTTTTTTGTCTTCAGAAATAGACTGTGGGAGAACATCAGCCAAAAAGTAGGCCTAAGAATAGCCTTGCACTAGCCTTGGCTTGTGTGAGCCGGAGCGGCTCATAGGAGCAGTTTCAAGTTTTATTAGTCATATGAAGGGATACACATGGTATACACAGTGCAACAAAATGCTTACTTGCAGGTTCCTTCTCAACAATGCAACAACAATAAGAAATAATACAAGAAAAGAATAGTCATAGAAGCAGGATCTCCTGTTTCTGTAGCATGAGGCAGCTTGATGTACAAGTAATCCCCCTGGACAGGATGCTAGTCTATCACAGCGCCTTACCCCCACTCTATCTCCTAAATGCTGAGTGTCAAGCAGAGAAGCATCGGGTCCCATTTTCAGTCTTTGGTATGACTCGGCCGGCGATCAAACTCCTAACCTTCCAGCGGACACTCTAACCACAAGGACAGTGAGTTGGTTCATCAACCATGCTTATCATTATTTCCCAAATAGTAACCAACAATTTGTTCATATGAATTTACATGCTTTTGATTTCCTAAATAGTGGGTGAAAGGTAATATGTCATAAATAAATGTAGGCCAAACTATTTCCTCTAAAAGGATGTGTGTATGTAGGCAACTCATCCAAAGCTACCCATCCAAAGTGGACATCTCCTTTCCGCTTCTTAAAACCCCCATGCTACATACACATATCACTGTATGTCTAATAAATCACTGTGTGTGTTTATTTCATGAAAATAACTCGAAGTCATTGGTCAGAATAATCAGGTCCTATTGTGATGTCATGCTTTGGGCCAAAAACTCCATCCCACCTGAACAGGCTGAAATTCCAGGCCAAAACAATAAATAAAAAAGCTCTTAAAAAGGCCATTATCAGAGTGTTACTTAGACCTCATAGCGTGGAAATATTATAAAAATGTTGACTGCACTGCCCCTTTAACATGCATTTAGATAAATGTTTCATACAATATAACATTAGATTATCACACCTTTCATAAAAGCTACCAGCAGTATGTCTTCCACAACACAAATATGTTTAGAACTGTGCACAAGTCAAGTTTTAAACAGCCTCACGAAGCTTTGTAGATCTATAACATTGAAAAGGCAAACCCAGAGTTAAACAGAAAATGTTTAATAGAGCTAAAGGAATACTGACAATGGTATATGTCACAGGTGAAAAGGGCTTAATAAATACATTTAATTGATTGATTGAAACTCACATTCTGGACACGTTGATCAGTCCTCTGAAGGCATTGCTTGGAACTTCAGTCAACGGCAGATGAGTTAGTCTTCTAAAAAATATGCACAAGGAAAAAACTTGTTAAAAAACATGTAACATATGAAACATGTAAGGTATTGCTGGCTGCTGGCAACCTGATCACAGAGCATTTCTTATTATTCTGTAAGTAAATCCCTGACATCCATATAGTATGATATGTTATGTTTCATATGGTATGTATTCATTTGTGTATGTCCATCACCCATTTTGTATGATATGTTTCGATTTACAATTCGTATTATATGTTACGAATTTGCAAAGCGTACAATATGTTACGAATCTGCAAAACATATGATATGTTATGAATTCTAGCTAGGTGGCTAACATTAGCTAGCTGGCTAATGTTAGCTAGAGTAGGGGTTAGGGTTAAGTTTAGGAGTTACGTTTAAAGTTTAAGGTTAGAGTTAGGGTTAGAGTTAGGGGAAGGGTTAGCTAAAAGGGTTAGGGTTATGGGGAGTCTTAGCTAACATGCTAAGTAGCTGCAGAGTAGCTAAGAAAGTAGTAAGTAGTTCAAAAGTTGCTAATTAGCTAAAATACTAAAGTTGTCCGTAATGAGATTTGAATTCGCAACCTTTGGGTTGCTAGACATTCGCGTTAGACATTCGTTTTTGCCTTAAGTAACCACCTGTCTTATGTAACCATACCAAACATAACATATCACAAAATTTGATTGGATTTACATTTACTATGTTACGTCTAGTCTATGAGACCAGGCTGAGTATTAGGCTACTATGGTGGCCTGTATTTTAATAGAGTGCAAAGCACAGTCAGTAGCTAGGTACCATACTTCACACAGTTCTGTACTGATAAAAGGCCATCATTGTATCTACTGTAAATTAGAATGTGTTTCTTAATTGACTGGTTGAATTTAAAGGTTAAATAAATAAATAAATAAATAATCAAATAATAAATAATCAGCTCGACAAAAGTGTCAGGCAATTTAAAAACAATGGATAGATATTGACGCTATAATTTTATATATGCACAATTCCTCCCCAAAAACGTAATGAAATTTTAGGCTACTTACAAGTTTCGAATGAATGATGGAGTGGTTTGGGACTTCAGTTGTGTTTCCCTCGTGCAACTGAGTTTCTCTCTGGTGTATGTGTAACATGTATCGCTCTTCATTGAACATTCACAAATCGACGGACAAGTGAAAGTCCAGCAGGAGCTCACATTCAGAACACCGGACAGCGCGAGAACAACCCACCACGTTCGCTTTGCCGATGCCATCTGGAAGGCTACCTGGGCACTTCGTCAACTGCTCCCCCTTTCCACCCAACTGTCACTTTCTCAAGAGAAATCAAATAAAACCGTCCTCAAATAGACTAATCTAGGTAGCCTACTTGACAAAGCAAATTGAAGCAGAGGAGAAGAGAGGACCATTATCATTTCCACCTGCCCTGCGCTAATGGAAGGTACTGCATCTTCCTGGTGTGCGCCACTCAGTAACTCAGCATTCAACAAGGTTCAGTTAGAGCCCAGCCCTGACAGGGTCACAACATAACCACTCTACTCTCTCCACATTAGAAAGCAAAATTTTACACACAGAAAATGCTGGGCAATTTTGGTAAATGTTGTGTTATGCTGACCTAGCCGGTTGGGTCACAAACAGATGCACAGGGCCAGATATACAGTACCAGTCAAAAGTTTGGACACACCTACTCATTCAAGGGTTTTTCTTAATTTTTACTACAGTGAGGGAAATTAAGTATTTGATCCCCTGCTGATTTTGTACATTTGCCCACTGACAAAGACATGATCAGTCTATAATTTTAATGGTAGGTTTATTTGAACAGTGAGATACAGAATAACAACAAAAAAATCCAGAAAAACGCATGTCAACATTTTTATAAATTGATTTGCATTTTAATGAGGGAAATAAGTATTTGACCCCTCTGCAAAACATGACTTAGTATTTGGTGGCGAAACCCTTGTTGGCAATCACAGAGGTCAGACGTTTCTTGTAGTTGGCCACCAGGTTTGCACACATTTCAGGAGGGATTTTGTCCCACTCCTCTTTGCAGATCTTCTCCAAGTCATTAAGGTTGAGGCTGACGTTTGGCAACTCGAACCTTCAGCTCCCACTCCAGGACCTTAATGTGCTTCTTCTTGAGCCACTCCTTTGTTGCCTTGGCCGTGTGTTTTGGGTCATTGTCATGCTGGAATACCCATCCACGACCCATTTTCAATGCCCTGGCTGAGGGAAGGAGGTTCTCACCCAGGATTTGACGGTACATGGCCCCGTCCATCGTCCCTTTGATGCGGTGAAGTTGTCCTGTCCCCTTAGCAGAAAAACACCCCCAAAGCATAATGTTTCCACCTCCATGTTTGACGGTGGGGATGGTGTTCTTAGGGTCATAGGCAGCATTCCTCCTCCTCCAACAAGCGAGTTGAGTTGATGCCAAAGAGCTACATTTTGGTCTCATCTGACCACAACACTTTAACCCAGTTCTCCTCTGAATCATTCAGATGTTCATTGGCAAACTTCAGAAGGGCCTGTATATATGCTTTCTTGAGCAGGGGGACCTTGCGGGCGCTGCAGGATTTCAGTCCTTCACAGCATAGTGTGTTACCAATTGTTTTCTTACATTTACATTTTAGTCATTTAGCAGATGCTCTTATCCAGAGCGACTTACAGTTAGTGAATACATATTTTTTTATACTGGCCCCCCGTGGGAATCAAACCCACAACCCTGGCGTTGCAAACGCCATGCTCTATCAACTGAGCTACATCCCTGCCGGCCATTCCCTCCCCTACCCTGGACGACGCTGGGCCAATTGTGCACCGCCCATGAGTCTCCCGGTCGCGGCCGGCTGCGACAGAGCCTGGATTCGAACCAGGATCTCTAGTGGCACAGTTAGCACTGCGATGCAGTGCCTTAGACCACTGCGCCACTCAGGAGACAGCTTGGTGACTATGTTCCCAGCTGCCTTGAGATCATTGACAAGATCCTCCTGTGTAGTTCTGGGCTGATTCCTCACCGTTCTCATGATCATTGCAACTCCACGAGGTGAGATCTTGCATGGAGCCCCAGGCCGAGGGAGATTGACAGTTATTTTGTGTTTCTTCCATTTGCGAATAATCGCACCAACTGTTGTCACCTTCTCACCAAGCTGCTTGGCGATGGTCTTGTAGCCCATTCCAGCCTTGTGTAGGTCTACAATCTTGTCCCTGGCATCCTTGGAGAGCTCTTTGGTCTTGGCCATGGTGGAGTTTGGAATCTGATTGATTGATTGCTTCTGTGGACAGTTGTCTTTTATACAGGTAACAAGCTAAGATTAGGAGCACTCCCTTTAAGAGTGTGCTCCTAATCTCAGCTCGTTATCTGTATAAAAGACACCTGGGAGCCAGAAATCTTTCTGATTGAGAGGGGGTCAAATACTTATTTCCCTCATTAAAATCCTTCCTCTACGGAAGCATAGTTCCCGCTCAGCCCAGTCAAAACTGTTCGCTGCTCTGGCACCCCAATGGTGGAACAAGCTCCCTCACGACTCCAGGACAGCGGAGTCACTCACCACCTTCCGGAGACATTTGAAACCCCACCTCTTTAAGGAATACCTGGGATAGGATAAAGTAATCCTTCTACCCCCCCCCCCCCCCCCCCCCAAAAAAAAAAAAAAATGTGTAAAGTGGTTATCCCACTGGCTATAGGGTGATTGCACCAATTTGTAAGTCGCTCTGGATAAGAGCGTCTGCTAAATGACGTAAATGTGTCCTTGAGCAAGGCACTTAACCCTAATTGCTCCTGTAAGTTGCTCTGGATAAGAGCGTCTGCTAAATGACTAAAATGTAAATGTAAATGTAAAATGCAAATCAATTTATAAAATTTTTGACATGCGTTTTTCTGGATTTTTTTGTTGTTATTCTGTCTCTCACTGTTCAAATAAACCTACCATTAAAATTATAGACTGATCATTTCTTTGTCAGTGGGCAAACGTACAAAATCCGCAGGGGATCAAATATTTTTTTCCCTCACTGTAAGTGTGTGCCCTATTATATAGCCCATACTCCACTACCACATATCTACAACACAAAATCCATGTGTACGTGTGTGTATAGTGCGTATGTTATCATGTGTGTGTATGGATGTGTCTGTGCCTATGTTTGTGTTGCTTCACAGTCCCCACTGTTCCATAAGGTGTATTTGTATCTGTTTTTTAAAATCAGAATTTACTACTTGCATCAGTTACCTGATGTGGAATAGAGTTCCATGTAGTCACGGCTCTATGTAGTTCTGTGCGCCTCCCATAGTCTGTTCTGGACTTGGGGACTGTGAAGAGACCTCTGGTGGCATGTCTTGTGGGGTATGCATGGTGTCTGAGCTGTGTGCTAGTCGATACCTCTCACAAATACAAATAGTGATGAAGTCAATCTCTCCTCTACTTTGAGCCAGGAGAAATTGACATGCATATTATTAATGTTTGCTCTCTGTGTACATCCAAGGGCCAGCCGTGTTGCCCTGTTCTGAGCCAATTGCAAATTTTCCTAAGTCCCTCTTTGTGGCACCTGACCACACGACTGAACAGTAGTCCAAGTGCGACAAAACTAGGACCTGTAGGACCTGCCTTGTTGATAGTGCTGTTAAGAAGGTAGAGCAGCGCTTTATTATGGACTTCTCCCCATCTTAGCTACTGTTGCATCAATATGTTTTGACCATGACAGTTTACAATCCAGGGTTACTCCAAGCAGTTTAGTCACCTCAACTTGCTCAATTTCCACATTATTTATTACAATATTTAGTTGAGGTATTTAGTTGATGACAGCTTTGCACACTTATTTTTTATTTTTTTATTTGTGTGTATTGTTTTGTATTGTTAGGTATTACTGCACTGTTGGAGCTAGAAACGTAAGCATTTTGTGTGAATGCAAGCAATAAAATGTGATTTGATAATTTTTTGTTGTTGATATATTTTAAATTATTTCAAGTAGAAATTGAACCCATGTCTGCTCTCTCATGCCACTTAAGGTTGCTTTTTAAGGAGCTTTCTGGCACCTCTCGCCGGATGGCTGTTGACATGTCAGTATCCTGCTGTTTGATAATCAGGGGACACCAGGGGTGTTACACGAGGTGGTTTGTGTGTGTGTGTGTATGTGTGTGTTTGGAAGATTGAGATGTGCTCACGTGAAGAGCAGGGAGACCATTTTTTGTGCTTGTCCAATTCTGTGGTCCTGTGTGGCTCAGTTGTTAAGAGTGTGGCATAAGCAACGCCAAGGTTGTGGGTTCAGTTCTTGGAGGGTGATGGAGGCTGGAGAGGTCTGTTCATGTGGTGAGACTGCAATCCACTTGTAACTTGCTTATAATGCTTACTCAGTATCAGGGACAGGTAGATGCAAACACGTACAGACTGTGTCGGAGAGAGGGGTAAGTTGAGCCATATTTTACATTCAGCATTACTACGTCAAGGGAAATATAGTATTCTTTCTAAAACAGATATCTACATATATTTCAGGAAGTTGTGTATCACTGGAAATAATCACAATTAATGTAAACATAACAGTTTTGAAAACATAGCTTGTCTCTTGGCACAACTTATGGGGTAAGTTGTGTATAGTGACAGGGTCCGTTGAGCAGCCTTGTGGTAAGTGGGTGATGGTGTCCTGTGACAGTGGGTGATGGTGTCCTGTGACAGTGGGTGATGGTGTCCTGTGACAGTGGGTGATGGTGCTTGTAAGCAGTGTTGGGGAAGCTGCTTTGAAAATATAGTTTACCAAGCTACCAATGACTTCACACTGAAAGAAGTTAAGTTACACTAAAGCTACCCCCACTAAAAATATAGTTTACTTAACTAAAGTTATTTTGAAAAAGCAGTTCACTACAGACAAACTACTTGGTGAAAAATGATCATATGTAAATCTGAAATGTCGTAGACTATAAATTGCAAGAACAGTTACAGTATTTGTTAACAGGATGTACAGTATTTCACAAAAGTGAGTACACCCCTCACATTTTTGTAAATATTTGAGTTTATCTTTTCATGTGACAACACTGAAGAAATGACACTTTGCTACAATGTAAAGTAGTGAGTGTACAGCTTGTATAACTCTGTAAATTTGCTGTCCCCTCAAAATAACACAACACATTAATGTCTAAACCGCTGGCAACAAAAGTGAGTACACCCCTAAGTGAAAATGTCCAAATTGGGCCCAAAGTGTCAATATTTTGTGTGGCCACCATCATTTTCCAGCACTGCCTTAACCCTCTTGGGCATGGAGTTCACCAGAGCTTCAC